AGGAAATAATTTCCTTCACAAGTTCATGGCCAGAATGAGGACGAAGGGGAGTGAGTTGAGGAGGAAACGTGAAAGGGGCAAAAAAATGGATAGAATCCATACAGTGTATACGAGGGCATGTACACAGGACGTTGGACGTTAACTATAATCGCGACGTGCCGGTGCGGAACGGAGTACCACACCCACGGGGGGTCGAAAACACACGGGGCCCTTCTATCACGTTCCTCTCCTGCCGTGGAGAAATGAAGGAAGTTGTGGCACACCAGGGACCAATGCTGAACGGAGATGGACGCCTTTCAATCGATGTCGTGCTGCTTTCGTTATGAAGTTCTCGTTTTTTTTTATAAAAACAAAATCTATGCACGCGCTCTCGCGGGTGCTGATCTATTCATTTGTTGAAATGAAGAAATGGAATTCATTAAATTTCATNAAAAAAAATTTACCACTGAAGAATTTGAAAATGCCGCGTGTTTTTTTTTGTGAATAACTTCGTGTCACATATTGACCAGTCAGAATTAAGGATTAGCGGTCAGGCAGTTTCGAGATATTTTGATATAAAACAACTTCACGTTTCTTTCATCTTTAGTAAATAGGAATAATAAAAATGTATGTAATAAAAATGTATGTCGAAAAATCAAAATGAAATTATCTTTACTGGTAATTCATTGTGCGAGGCTAAATACCAATTATTGTTGGAACCAACGACAGTGTAAATAATTCAAATTCAGAATTAAACACTTTAAATAATTGAAAAAAAGAAGTTTTTGTTTCTGTAATTTTTCTACGCGAAATGTTATTACAACTTTCCTCTGTCTTCAATCGCCGATTCATCGAGAACAGCTGAGTGAAATACCCCGTTTTTTTTTTCAATTTCTAGGGATTTTTTAGGGCTTTAAAATGAATTTTGAGTCGTTGAAATCGTATCGTTCAATCAGGAGATATTGACGCAAATGTATTTAAATTTATCAGGGGGAGTAAATAAAACGTATTATCTTTAATCGTCAATAACTGAAGAACGGCAGAGTGAAATTTTTCGATTTTCTTATTCAATTTTTAGGTTTTTTAGGTTTCAAGCTTTAGAATGAGTTTTGACTCATCCAAATCGCATCATTCAGTCAGAAGCTATTGCCAATCGAAGTCGATTGATCCTGAAATGTCACCTTTAAACTCAGTCGAAAAAAAAATTTCATATTCGTTAGCCCACGAATGACTGAACTTATCACCTGCTAATAATGCTAAATAGATACCTCAAGTCCTAGGCCGTAAAAATGAATCGTAATCCTCCGGCGTAAAATAAATTCTACGTTTCATCTCGTAAAATGGAATTTTACGGCTCAAACAGAGTTCGTAAAATGGTACTTGACGGAAAAGTGTGGGAGAACATCATGTGACGGTCATTCTCAACCGTTGATTTCATTAAAAACAAATATGACGAGTTTAATAGTGCGGTAAAATCGTGCGGTACCCGCACAACGGGTTAAATCAGCAAACGTATAAATGCGGGAGTAGAGCAGAGGAG